ATGTATGTAAAAGTTAGATAGGTGTCTACTTACCATAAATATCATTGTTCCGATATCTTGCTCATTAATTGAAACTTGAAAATACGCACATGGTCTCTGGAAGACGTCGCATTCTAATTAGGTACCTAAATACCTAACGCATCGTAAAACTGGATACTACTTTACTATTACCTTTTATACCTTCTGAGTTTTCGAAAATCGATCAACAATTACAATTTACACACGAGAATCAACAGAAATATTATATATAATTTATAATTAAGACAATCCTTTTGTTTGGGATTCCTGGCTATCAAACGTTTTAGCTATTAATGTTTTTATTTTTACTAAAATAGAATGGATGCTTACTCCCGATGATTTAACAAAATTGGAAAATAATTGAACAGCTTCGTTATAATAATCAAGTTTTAAATGGTAAACATATTTTGACTCGATTAATTCTTTTAAATCCTTTTCTCCACCAAGAAATTGACCATTTGCTAAGACGGCGACTTGAGATTGCAAGCAATATGCGTTACCGCCGAACTGGATTTTTAAATCATTCCATATTTTTGGCCATTCCACGCTTGTAACGGCTAAAAAAAAAACGTAAAACAGTAAGACGCGGTACCAAATATTATCATTGCATCATTAAAATAGGTAAGAGTAGGTAGTAAGTGTGGATTGAAAGTTGATGTAGTGACAAGGATTGAAAAAGGGAATGTTACGCTGCTTTGGACATGTAGAAAGGATGGATGAAAGTAGAGTAAAGAAAGAAGTATACAGAGCGGATATGAATGGGGCCGTCGGTAGAGGATGCCCTAGACGGACATATACAGACCAGATTAGCAATATATTAAAGGGTCACATTAAAAGTACCCTTAACCGACGAGCACGCATGAAAAGATTGATGACTGTTGATGAAGCGAAAGAGGTATGTAGTAATCGTAGTAATTGGCGTTCCAAAGTCTCTGTCTACCCCTATGGGAGACAGGCGTGAAGTTATGTATGTATGTATGTAGTAGGTAGTAGAAAATGAGAAATTCAATCTGGAATAAATCCTAGTAGGTGGATATCTATGCAGTACTTTATGTTAATATACGTTTTTATTCTAAGTACCTAGCCATATTGGAAACTGAGTTGGCTGTAATAAGAATTTACCAGCATGGATTACGAACGCTGGAAGTGCTTGCATTAACCTGTTGAAATATCGTACCCTAAATTTGTTCAAACAAAAGTAGTCTCTAAGCATCGGAAATAAAGTCTATAATGTAGTTAGTGGAGATGGAGAGCGGTCATCAGTGACCGCGTGCATAGTTTTGAGATGACTTTTTTTATAAATAAATCTGCAGGTAGGTACTAACTCTAGGTTACTTACCCCGTATATCTGGAGCGTCGAAGCTTTTCCATCGATATTTATGCAGCCCTTTTACTAATTTCATACAATAAATAAATTCTTTTGTGACTCTGTTACCAATCACTGTAAATTTCACCCTGTTTGCATTAGGAGTTTTGCCGACCTTGGGTGGTGGGTAAATAATAGCATTTCTTGCAGAATTATGGCCATATTTATAGGTTGGTAAATAAATGTCCTTGATATATTTTTCCCATGGATGGGCAGGATTATTTTGTTCTTTTACAGAAAGATCAGGGTTTTGTTCAGACATCTTGTTGACTTGCTTGACTGATTGATTTATTATCTTTTTCCTGCAGTTAAAGACCGCGATATTCTTTTTAAAATTAATCGCCAGATACCTATTAACTGTTTATTAAAATGAGGAATCTTGTATAAGGTATCTGATCACGCACTGTATTAATAATAACTTAATTAAATTGCAGTTTAAGTAGTCAAAGTATTAAAATAAAATAAAATTAAATAAACTATAGTGATCAAATATCAGTCCATAAAATAAACATAAATAAAAACTTAGGCGCTTTGGAGGACGTTTTTAAACGATAGTTGGGTTTGTCGGCCTGACTGACTCAGTCACCTATAGACTTCTGTGACAGTGACAGATGGCGTTACCCGTCATTACCCATGTGTGTCATAATATAACATCATCTAAAATCTGTTTTGATTTCATCAATTTAATAGAAAACTATTGCTTTTTCAGTCGTTTCGTAATGCCTGAAGATATTTTATGTGGTTAATTGTCTAGGATTGTTAAATAATAGTCTTAAGGTCCAAACAGAACATTTAAAAATGAATGATACACATCATTCCCTAAGTTTTTCATTGATAAGTGGAGAACTATGTAATTTACTTTATTTAAAAGAATATAACAAAGAAGTTGTGAATAAACTGATAGACGACTTGAATGCAAAACCTTATAAAGCGGAGATTTTTGTGAGAAAACATGTAAGTTTGTAGGTTATGTTTTTGTTGAAGTACCCTTTTATCTGGTGGACAATTCTTTCTAAATTTCGAATATTTTTATACATTACAGGATGCTGCGACTGTAATAACAGCGCTTTGCTTAAATGTGAAGCCAGTCGATGAATTTTTAGCTGCCAAAACATCTCATTTAATAAATAGTTTAATAACAAAACAAAATCTAGAATTTGAAGCTGATTATCTCTGGAAAGTCATATCCTGGCATATAGAGTGCTTGAGACATTGCACTGACATTGTGTTGCCGGATATCCTCCATAGTTTGCAATGTATCATAGAACTCAATCCTCAAGCAACTCATATGGTTGGTACCCTCATTTTTATGATCCAGAGTTTATGTATGTCGGTGCCATTAAAGTGATGCACAAACTTTAGCCTATATTTTGTAATAATTTCATTTTAAATTAATATCAGTATTATGCTAAAATAATATTAAAATGAATTCTTAATTTTTATTAAAATCCAATTTGTTGAGAAAAGTACAAAATTATTGGTGTTACTAAGACTTAAACTAAAATGATACTAACACCATTTAGGAATAGATAACTGTAGGACAAGCAATATATTAAATAACATTGCAATTTATTTTTCACAGTTCACTGAAGACCTGATTGGTTTCCAAGGAGTTTTGATCAGATTCATAGACCTCTCCAGACATGTTCCAAAATCTCAAGATAGTTTACAAATACATTTAATGGCTCTGAAATGTATCTCAAGTGTTTTGACTACTGTGGATGATATATATAAAACTGAGACTGAAAAAAATATATCTTTGAAAATAAAAGAACAAATATCATCTATGGTTGTTAAGTTTTTAATGGCTGGATATTCTAAGACGCAAGATGAATACTTATATTGTAAGGTAAGTTTACACTTTTATTAGTACAGTTACGATAAAAATATTGTTGTTATGTTTTAAATAAAAATTGACATATAGGATAAAGAACTGTCTTTTCTTTTTTTATCTCTTATATTGCGTGACACAAGACATTAATAAAAAATAGATCTAATTAAATAATTTCCCACTTTCCCAGTCATTAATTATTATGTTTTCGCCTTACTCAGATAACTGTTTTTTTTTATATTTGATGGGGCGACGTTTGACCACTATCTCGCCTGGTGGTAAGCGATGTATGACGAGGAACTCGACTACTTTCAAGCCATGCTAGACGCTTATAATCATGAGCAGCATTCCGCGACCCGCGACGCCGTATCGCGCTGCTCGACTAGTTGTCGAGTTCCTCGTCGAACAGTTACGCGGGTTAACCGTTAATAATTAATTTAGTATGTCTCATGAAGGTTTCAACATAAACATTTCCAGTTCTTAGAAAAATATTTATTAAATAGTAGTAATTCAGAGGTTAAATGAAATACATGTATTCTATCAGAATTCAAAATTACTCATCTATGCAGTCACCAATAAAAATAAAATGATATTAAAACTTTTGTACCTATATTTTATTTTTTGTTCTTTTACAGATACTAATAGTAGCCTTAAGAGTATTATCTCAGATATACTTCAATGCTCCAAATATAAGCATACAGCTGCCAGAGGTGATGGGAATCTGTAGGTACTGCATAATCTACGGGCTGGTAGTTCAGAACAACCGGCCTGAGAAGATCATGCCTGCTCAGCAGACCATTGCCATGGCACCTGTCGTACCTAAACCTAACTCTAAAGGTGGAAAGGTAAGATAATTGGAAAGTTGATGAACATAGAATGTATTTGTTTTCTAATATAGTCCAAAATCTATTGAAAGAATTTGAAAGATTTTGCTAGCTTCTGCTTAGTATTGTATACTCAATAGTACAATAGACTTTCAACTTAATCTGTTTTATAATAAAGTCGAAAGTCTAGAATAACGATATAGGTTAGCTTGATCTATAATTTGCACTAAACTTGTTCCGAAGGTAGTTTCAAACAGCTCTGTCTTTGGTCAATGATTTTTTTTCAATTGTTCTTAAAATAATGTAACCTTCCACAAAGTACTTTCTTTTGCTTTAATATTTCTAATCAATGAATATTTCTGACTATTCCAGAAACAAAAAATAAGGAAGCAAAGAAACAATGCAATAGAAAGTTTGAAGAAAGAGATTCCAGTATCGGACCGCAGCCTTATGAAGGATGTTGACAACTTTGAAAATAATTCTGCATACAAGCCTGCCACCCTGCTTTATTTGGAGCCACAGAAAGCAAAGACTTACTGGGCACTGACCAGTGACTCTGAAATGTCAGACGTCGAGAATAGTAAAGAAGTTAAACTGATTGCCTTGAAGTCTAGAGTGAGACAGAGTGCTTCTAATCTCCTATTGGTTTTGGTTAAAGTAAGTATTCTTATATTAACTGAGGTTCTTGCCTAATAAATGATTTAGGGCTTTATTTGGCATTAGCGCCATCTAGTGTGCGTAAAAATGTACTTGTTACGATCCTACAAGTTTTAATTACATCTAAGGGGATTATTACTGCCAAGGATTGCTTAAAATAATTTAATTATGTAGATTTTTTTTTCAAGTTATCTACATGGAAATAAAAATTTAAGCAATATCCTGAATTGGTGATTGTGATCAGACTACATAACTCGGTTCTACCTTATTCAATTCTAGGTAACAGAAAAACGAGAAATATTTGGTTACTGGTGGGCCCTACTACCTGACTCTCCGGATGCTGCTAACTGGTCTGCAGGGGAAGCCGCTAAGAAGACGTTAGCATACTGCGCCGTCACTGACCCTATTGCCAATAGTCGAGCGAGTATACTCAGTGTTATTTTGGCACTCCTTTCTCGATCCAGGGTGTATTTGTTTCAAGCTGAAACTAGGTGAGTCTATAAATGTTTTATAAAGGTTTCTAATACATATTATCTAGGAATTTAATTCATGTATGTGTAGATAAGGCAAAACAATATTGTGCCCCAATTTTGCGCATTTGTAACTTTTGGGATGAAAAAAATAACA